CTTAAATCTTTCTCTTTGTCTTTTCGTTAGCTACTTGCTAGGAGAGATTGTTGTTGTTGCTATGGTGACCAGCAGTCTGCGCACCGACCTTGAGGGTTAAATGGTGAATCAGCAGTTCTACATTAACTCCTGCGTTTAAGACCATTTACTGTTAAACTGTGTTGAATGATCAGCAGAGCTTTATTTTACTGTAAAGGAGGATTATTTTATTTTTACCTAAAAATCAATCTAAATCTAATTCTGCTGTGGAGCCGCAACAGGACAGTATAAGAGCCGCATGTGGCTCTGGAGCTGCTTGTTGCCGACCTCTGGTTTAGGCTACAAGAGGTATGTAAAGCCCATAAAACCACTTTCATTACAGGACGCCTGAAGAGTGTGTGTGAACATATTAACGATACTGGTAGCGTTCGAACTCCTTTGTGTTTCTGCCACATCTCTCCCTGAATGAAAGCAAATTCAGAATCCTGCTCCGAATCCTGGCGCTGAAAATTATTTAGCAATTAGCTTACCTTATGGGAGCAGCATTGTGTAAAAAAACTGGAAGGATGTGTAGTTTTTGGCTATATTTCAGAAAGCTCAAAGCTTTCATCAACATATTCATGCCAATCCATTGACTTTCAGCTTCACAAACATGGCTAGACAAGCAGCCAGATCTCATTCAAAATTACATTACATTTACATCACTATTCATAAAAATTCTCTTTTTTTTTTTTGCAAAAATATTTTCCACTAGATTTTTTTTCTTTACAAAATTTGGAAATTGCATCTGTTTCTATAGTAACTCTCAAACTCTGGGGTCATGCACTTCCTCCTGATCTACTGGTTTATCTTCATGTTTGCCCTCGATATGTCTGTAACCTTCAGGCCCCCAGTGAAAAAGGAGTCAGAGAGCAAAGAAACAGACAACACAGATGAGGTTTCGCAGCAGATCCAGCTGACCGTCACAAAGGACAAGAAGAGTAACGCTTCTCCAGAAGACCCAAACGGTATGGAAGAAGAGATCATGCAAGATGAGGAACAGAAGAGGAGAAAGATGGAAGAAGAAATTGCGTTCTTGAAAGATGAGAACAAAAGACTGACTCGAGAGGTACATCGTAAAAGTCTACAAAATCAGAAACGTTTTGTGGAGGTTTTTTGTTTAGTGTCCAGCATCGTTAGTCAGTGCTGTAATCACTTTATGAATAAAACCAGTATGTTGATTGTGATGTCTACAATTCTACATGTGTCCCTTCACTATTTATCTCACTCAAGAGAGTCTTTGTCTGTTTCTGGTAGAAAAAAAGTGGCACATTCATTTGGATGGCCTCTATGGTGGCAGTGACTGCAGTGTTTGTTATGCTGCGCTTTGCCGTCAAAGGTAAACTCAGATCAAACTACACATTACAAAATTTTTACAGTTATTGAAATTCAAACCCTGTATTTAAATCACTTACAGAGACAATCTACCTATTGACTTGTATTTTCAAGGCTATGAGTTGAACCATCATGAGCTGAGACTGATGCTGGTGGGTAAGACAGGAGCTGGGAAGAGTGCGTCAGGAAACACCATCCTGAGTGAAGAAGCTTTCAAAGTCGAAGCGTCTCCAGCATCTGTGACTATACACTGTGAGACTAAGAACAAAGTTGTGGGTGGATGGAACATCACCCTGATTGACACCCCTGGGGTGATGGACACATTGCTAATATCAGAACAAACAGCCCACAGTGCCCCTGAATGTATTTCCATGATCGTTCCTGGTCCTCATGTGTTCCTGCTGGTGATCAGACTGGGGAGATTCACAGAGGAGGAGATGAATGCCGTGAAGTGGATTCAGGAGAACTTTGGAGAAGAAGCTTTGAAGTTCACCATGATACTCTTCACTGGTGGAGATCTGCTGAACGGAAAACCCATTGAGAAGTTTATCAGTAACAGTTATTAGCTTCAGAATCTTGTAGACACCTGCGAAGGTAGATATCACGTCTTCAACAACCATGACAGAAGTAACCAAACTCAAGTTAAAGAGTTATTGAAAAAGATAAATCTAATATTACATGAAAATATGGGCTACATTCACTCAAAACAGGTGTACCAGAAAGTCCAGCAAAGCACCATAGAAGAAAAGAAGAGTAAGCAAGATAAGCTGAAGGAGATGGCAGTCAAATTGAGAGATGAGCAGAATGAAAACATAAAATGTGTTGCAGAGTTAGAAGAGGCATATAATCTAATCACCGTGTTACAGGTTGCAGCTGCTGCCACAGTAGTTCTCTGTGTGGGTTTGTGTTGTAAGAAGGCAAAATAGCTGAGCCTTCGGGGGAATATTCACATAACTGAGTCACACGTCCAACACGGGGTCTGCAGACCTTTTTATAACTAAATAAACTAAAATATTTACAGTGCTTGCAAAGCAAAGCACTCTATTCCTCTACAACTCTCTATATATCTGTCCTTCTACAACCCTATAACTATCTATATATTTATCTGCAACTCTATCGATCCATCTATCTACAGTGGTGCTTGAAAGTTTGTGAACCCTTTAGAATTTTCTAGATTTTTGCATAAATTTGACCTAAAGCTTCATTAGATTTTCAAACAGGTCCTAATAGTAGATAAGGAGAACCAAATTAAACAAATGAGACAAAAATATTAGACTTGGTCTTTTATTTACTGAGGAAAATGATCCAATTTTACAGATCTGTGAGTGGCAAAAGTATGTGAACCTTTGTTTTCAGTATCTGGTTTGACCCCCTTGTGCGGTAATAACTGCAACTAAAGGTTTCTGGTAACTGTTTAGTCCGGCACATCGGCTTCGTGGAATTTTAGCCCTCCATACAAAACGGCTTTAACTCTGTTATGTTGGTGGGTTTCCTCCCATGAACTGCTCGTTCAGGTCCTTTCACAACATTTCTATAGGATTAAGGTCAGGACTTTAACTTTATTCTTATTTAATCATTCTTTGGTAGAATGACTTGTGTGCTTAGAGTCGTTGTCTTGCTGCATGACCCACGTTCTCTTGAGTTTCCGCTCACGGACAGATGTCCTGACATTTTCCTTCAGAATTTGCTGGTATAATTCAGAGTTCATTGTTCCATCAATGATGGAAAGCCATCCTGGCCCAGATGCAGCAAAACAGGCCCAAACCATGATACTACCACCACCATGTTTTACAGATGGGATAAGGTTTTTATGCTGGAATGCAGTGTTTTCCTTTCTCCAATCATGACCCTCCTCAGTTAAACCAAAAAGACCTATTTTGGTCTCATCCGTCCACAAAACATTGTTCCAAAAGCCTTCTGGCTTGTCCATGTGATCTTTAGCAAATGTTCTTTTTGGAGAGGAGTGGATTTCTCCTTGCCATGCACACCATTGTTGTTCAGTGGTCTCCTGATGGTGGACTCATAAACATACACATTAGCCACTGTGAGACAGACCTTTAGTTGCTTAGAAGTTACCCTGGGTTCCTTTATGACCCCAATGACTATTACACGCCTTGCTCTTGGTGTGATTTTTGTTGGTCGACCACTCCTGGAGAGGGTAACAGTGGTCTTAGATTTCCTACATTTGTACACAATCTGTCTGACTGTGATTGGTGGAGTCCAAACTCTTTAGAGATGGTTTTGTAACCTTTTCCAGCCTGACGAGCATCAACAGCTCTTCTTCTGAGGTACTCGGAAATCTCCTTTGTTCATTCCATGATACCCTTCCACAAACATGTTGTGAAGATCAGACTGTGATAGATCTGTGTTCTTTAAATAAAACAGGGTGGACATTCACACCTGATTGCCATCCCATTGATTGAAAACCGACTCTACTTTCACCTTCAAATTATCTGCTAATCCTAAAGGTTCACATACTTTTGCCACTCACAGATACGCAACACTCGATCGTATTCCTCAATAAATAAATGACCAAGTCTAATATTTTTGTCCCATTTGTTTAATTTGGTTCTCTTTACCTACTATTAGGACTTCTGTGAGAATCCGATGAAGTTTTGGGTCGAATTTATGCAGAAATCTAGAAAATTCTAAAGTGTTCACAAACTTTAAAGCACCACTGTATCTATCCATCTATCTTTCTACAACTCTCTCTCTATCTATCCATCTTAAATATCTTTCTATTTTTTTAACATTTTCTTTTTATTTTACTTTTTTTTATATTTTGCAAGCAAAATAAAAGCAAAAAAAAGGAAATACATATCAATTTTTTTAAGAACTGATGTGAGTCCCTTCAGGCATATCACCATTAATTTAGATGTCTTGAAACTGTTCCACTTTAAAAAAAAAGAGAGAAGTGTTACTGTTAAGGCCCATGACACGTATAAGTATTTGCATTTTATAATAGAAGCATGTCTGTTTATTTTAATTTACAATTTTTATAGTCAGGAAAGACCTTCTGTTCAAATAACATAAAAATGCTAAACAATGTGGCCTCAAAATAAACATCGGTTGATATTGAAAACACTCTAAATGTAGCTACTGTGATATGAATGAGTTCTACCGTTTCTGATTAGGCTGAATGAATAGCTGGCTCCAAATGTATGTACTGTGATGTAAACTCATTTGTGTTCTGCAGACCTTAAAACAAACTGTTACCTTTCTTTCATATTTTATTTTTTTATTATTATTATTTTATACTGGATTTGTGATTCTGTGATCTATACATGCCTCACCTTAAATGCAGCTGTCTATAATAATATGAAAGTTAATAAAAAAATAAATAAATAAAGGATTAAAGAAAAAAAGGCCTGCGAGTTTCTGGCAACAGGATGTGCGTCTGGCTGAGTCTCAAATGGCTCCCTACTCCCTACGTAGTGCACTATGTAGGTCGCGAAACAACAGCTTCTACACCCAAATAGCACATTAAATGTCTAACAGAGAGCCATTTATATTCGCCCATAAGCTGTACGGCTCCCTGTCTACCATCTAGTGCACTATTCGGGTGTAGAAGAACTAGTTTCATGAACAAAGAAGTGCACTATATAGGGTGTAGGGAGCCATTTGAGATTCGGCCCAAAGTAAACGCTCCCTGTTAAAACTTCCGTCTCCCTCTGGACGCCTCGGCTTCCCTCAAACTTTCCATAATGTCCAACAACAACGCCAGCACCAACCTGGCCGTCGCTCACAAAGCTGTCAAACAGCTCCGGCTGGAGGCCAGCATCCGGAGAATCCACGTAAGAGCGGAAAATTAACTTTAAACCGGCGGATAAAAGTTTATTCAGCGGAGTTTTCGGTGGGAAACAAGTGGTAGCATCTGGCTAACTAGCGTAGCTAACTAAACAACAGACGGCGGAGGAGCTGATTAGCCTGCTAGCTCGCTGTTCAGCCCTCTCTGTGAAGTAAAGTAGTCGTAGATAAGTGAGGTTTTAGCCTATTAATAACATAATTCATATTTTTTTTTGGAGGGGGGGAAGGGGTTAGAGGTGTTAAACGACTCTATTATTGTCTGTCACTCTCTCTCTCACTCTCTCACTCACTCATAAACAAGTGGCCGGTTATTGTTTTGTTTCCTGCTCATGCAAAAACGGCCAAAGACTGTAAAAACACAAACGTGTGAGTTACTAACAGCTTCAGATACGAAGTGAAGAGTTTAATTCCAAAATGCAGTGTATTCATCTGTAGCTTTTGGGATAAAAGACGTTTTTTCCTTCTAATAAAGGAGTTATTATTCAAAATATAGCATTTATTTTGCTTGTTTATGTAAAACACCACACCAGAAATGTCTTGATAGTGTTTGTGTAATACTTTTTGCACCGAGACCCTTCATATACAGCCACTTTATATGTTATTTGTGCTTATTAATTAATCTGAGGACAAAATAATGATGCAGTTGTGTGCAAAAGTTTGAACACCCCTGGTCAAATGATATATTTTGTTGATTTTGTGAAAATAAGTTGACACAGTTAATTCTACAGGGAATAAACTTAAATATGATGTTTTTCTGCAAATTTTAACGCTCAGTTTCTGTTTATTTACAGAGCTTAACACACTGAGGGGGAGAAATGAAATAAAACGATTTGTTAAATGTGCTGTAACTGAGGCTCAGGCCACGTTTTGTGTTTTGTATGTTTCCCCAATTTGTTAAATTCAGCAAAAAAAAAAAAGCAATTGTGCATTAAAAGATGTGTTCACTTAATCTTCACTTAGAAAATGAACAAAATGTGTCATTTGGCCAGGCCTGCCCAAATTTTTACACACGACTGTATTGTTACTTCAATGACATAACGACTTGATTCGAGCTGAAGTGAAAGTAGCTTAAAAAAAATAAATAAGGTCCAGAATCTGTTTGTCTATTGAGTATCTAGAACTGCAGTGGAACTTCTTAGTACACTCAGCATCTATCAGCACAGGAACTGAAGTGTGTTAGACTCTTTTTGGATCCTTTTGTTTTAAAATAAAATGCTAAATCTCCAAATTGAGAGGTTTACTCCAAAGTGAAGAGCTGAACCAGCACAGAAAGACATTAAACACAAAAAAAGAATTAGGAACTAGGCTGCACCAATATGGGAATTTCTGATATTTTTCATGTACATATCTGCCAATGCAGATACATAAGCATTTATAAACTGTAAAACTAGGACTAGGATGGCCTGGATTAGTCTTGTATTATTTAATTCTGTTGGGTTTCTATTGGATTACAATAGCAGTAACATAAATTAAAATGCTGACATGTTCTGTTCTGTTCTGCACAATTAATACATCATGAAAGATTCATTAGAGATATTGGTAAAACCTCAACATATGTCCGAGGTCTGTGTTTTTTTTTTATCTGCCAATACTGATCTGATTTTGTGCATCTTTAGCAGGAGCCAAATGTGAAGGACTAAGGCCCAATCCCATTTCTTAATTTCACCTCTACCCCTTGATTTTGAGTGTGACTTTGCCCCTTTGAACCGAGTTACTTGGGGTAGTGGTTGAAATCTTCCCTACAAAATAGGACCCTCAAATAAAGAACATTACTTCATTAACAGCTACTAGCGCTGCTCTGTAGGTGACCCTGCCAGTCTGCAGTGACAGCAGAGGAGGGTGAAGTTCAGCTCCTCACTGCTGGGCTTTAGTTATGGGTTTATTTGGTCTCTTCTACAGCCATCATGTGTGTGTTGTGTTTTTTTTTGTTTGTTTGTTTTGTTTTTTTTGTTTTGTTTTTTTTTCCCCCCTCATAACACTTTGTTTGGAGTGAGCCTCTAATAAAACCTTCGTTTGGAGGGCCATGTAGCCCTAACACTTTGCCTCTACCCCTCTGTTTCAACAAAAGGACACCCTACCCCTAGATGTGAACGCGCAAAATGGAGGGCTAAGGATAAAGTGGTAGGGGCGAGGGGTGAAATGGGATTGGACCTAAAACAGTCGATTGTTAAAGTCTAGAAGTATTATCATTTGAAAATAGTCTGGAAAAGTGCAAAAGCATCAGATTTACTTAACTATTTGGAAACATAATGAGTTCAGATGGCATTATTTCTGGGTCATTGTGAATAAGAAGTCATTTAAGTGATCATTTTTGGTTGACTCTTAAGTGTCTTCTTTGCCAGGTGTCTCAAGCAGCCACAGACCTGAAGAACTTCTGCCTACAGAATGCTCATAAAGACCCGCTGCTGATGGGCGTCCCATCTGGCGACAACCCCTTCCGTCCACCCAAGTCATGTGGGCTGCTTTAGAGGTACCCAGATCAACCTACACAACCTTTATTTCAGTCCTCCTCCACCTATCCCACCCTGAATGATATTACTGATGTACGATACTCAGTCCAACAAACCTCTGCTGTCTTTTCTTTAGCGAGGCTGCTCCCCATTTTATTTTTGTTCACATTTTCTTTCCTCTCTTCATCTCTTACAATTAAACAGGGTATTTTTGTTACTGTGCCTGATGTATGCAAATGAGCTCTGTTCTGATTGGCTGTCCTGCCCTCATTCAAAAAGCAGTCCAGGTTGAAACACTCCTTAGAACTTCAGAGTGAGTGGGCGGAGACGAATAGTTGGATATTTGTGAACGTACTAAAAGGCTTAGTTTTGTAGCTTAAGTTTCCATATATATGGACTGAGGAGTAAACAGTTTGTCTCAACTTGCACCTAACAAAGGCGAGGGTTGCTTTTTCCATGAGTCCATGTACTCTTGCTACGTTACAATTCTTTGAAGTTTATTTAAGCTTCTATTGCACGATGTTGCCTCAGGGCAACAAACCCATTTTCCTCACTTTACAGTAACATTATACATATTTAACAACAATGGTTAACAATAAAGGGAACAGTTTAAGTCAAAGAAAATCATGTGTATGGTCATACTATCTCTTAACGAACACTTTTAAATCTCTTCTTAAACAATCGTAATTTTTGTTATGAGAATTTGCAGAAATGTATTTGTTGCCTAGAAGCAACATTTTGTGACAGTGGAATGGATTTAGCCAGTCAGAAGCCACTTTAGGGAACACGGATCTGTATAATTTCTTCCTATTGTCGCACAGTGTTGCCTCAAGGCAACATAGATCACACATTATTATTTCAAAAATGTTTTTGAATTTGAAAATCAGGTCCACTTTATGCAAGAAAAGTAAATTGAATATGTATTTTTTTAAATTGCTCTCATAATGCGTTTAGTAGAGGGTCAATATAAATTATAGTGATGTACTGAAATGAAAGTCTTGGGTCAAAACCGAAACTCTCACTAAATGCATGACATGCTGGGCCGAAAAACAGAAATAGCTGATGATAAATAAAAAAAAGATTACATAAAATAAGCTGACTGAAATGATTACAGTATGTGGGCTGTGGTCTGTGCCATGGAATCCAACATCCCCAGAGACAGTGAATTCCATTTTAATTCGCATTTGCATGTGAATTCCTTCATCATTTCATCATATCATACACTCTTAAAAATGATGCTTCTTCAAGGGTTCTTTAGTCAAAAAATGGTTCTAGTTAGAACTATGAACACTCGAAGAACCCTTTGCATGATTGAATGGTTCTTTGCCTCACTAAATGGTTCTTCATATTGATGGAGAATGTGCTGAAGATGGTGAAATATAGAACCTTTTTGAAAATGGTTCTATACAGCATCAAAAAGGGTTCTTCTCTTGTTACGATGCCAGGCCTGTAACAGTAGAAGAACCCTTTTGGTGCTGTATAGAACCCCTTTATATATATTAAACACATTCTCCATCAATTTGAAGAACCCTTTCACCATGCAAAGAACCCATTAATCATGCAGAGGGTTCTTTGAGTGTTCATGGTTCAATATAGAACCGTTTTCTTTACTAAAGAACCCTTGAAGAACCATAATTTTTAAGCGTGAAAGTGTAGAGTATACAGATGCCGTTGGCATGCTTGCAGGGACCTGCTTCTGTTGTTTTGCTCTGTTCTGCATATGAGTCATGTTTTCAGGTGGTATTAAACCTGTAGTGAACAGGTTCTTGGGTGTTCTCTCTCCACTTGATTCTCAAGAACAGAGATTATAAACTGTTTCTTTCTCATGGAAACTGTCCAGTACTTCCACACTGCTGATATTTTAGAGAATGTATCTGTGCTGACTGTCGTAGGAGAGCGAAGAAAACAGTTTTAATTACTACTTATTGTTTTCGTTATCATTTCTTACTGCTAAAAATAAAAAGGGAAAGTGCGATTTTGACAATTTTTAGGTGAAAATTTTGTTGGCCCGCTAATAAATTATGGACATTTCTACATTTTATACAAGTTTTTAACTGTTTTGATGTGCCATGCACACTCATTTTCTTTCCCTTCTACAGCTGCTGATGGCCGAAGACCGCTGAAGCTGATGGTCATCTGAAAGAACGTCTTGAAACACTATACACACACACACACACACACACACACACACACACACACTTCACTACAGAGTTGTGAGAATTATTTTTGCTGCGTTCGTCTCCTCTTATGGACTCTCTATTATCTGATAAAGCTGATCTTACACTGTGCAATCCACGTTGGTACGATCCACTTGTAGTTATTCATGCACTACAGTACTGTATTCACATCGTCTCAAAACTACATGACCCGTAAAACCATCCTGATTTAGTGGTCCATTTCCTGTTCCTAAAGACAGAAAGGGTTATAAATGGTTACAATCTCTTTTTCTTTGTACTTGCACCCTCAGAGTGTGCTAAGAGTAAATATATAACACTAAAATTTACTAAAAAAAAGAAACAAGAAGACTGTTACAAAGAACCACACTCCTTCATTTCAGGCAAAAAATCTTGAATTTGAAGTAGAAACCTTGAATACAATCGTTCACACTGTTGATAGACATGAAGTGGATCGTTCAAAGCAGGACTGCACTCCTATTTAAAGTTACCAACTCACTATGGCCTTCATTTCCAACAAACCAAAATGTTTCCCAGCAGTGACTGTTAACCTGTAAGCTTTTATATGAAGAAAAAATGAGAATCTGTTTTTAATAGATAAATATTGGAACTTTTTATATTAAATAAATTCTAACAGTGAGTTGTAGATGTAATTTTTAAAAGTAATCTTTTACTAATTTATTAGTGCTGTGAAGCAGAAGCAGGGCTGGGTGATATAGCGTCTACGTTCTGTAATTGCAGTATGGAAAGCATTCTATATGAGTTTGAATGGGAAGGGAAAGTGTAGAACTGCGCCATCTGCTGGTTGCATTGAAAACATTTTGAATTGTTATTAATTTTGCAATAGGGATATTTTTGGTTACAGTTTGAAAATCACTTTTGAGAAAGCCATTTTGCAACCATGCAAGCACAGTAGCTGCGAACACAATATTAAAAACTCTCATACACAATATGAAGTTATATAATTGTAAAGATTAAAAATACAATTAAACCACAAACCCCATGGTGCCACTTCATAGGATGGAATGACTGACGGACAGAGTTTGTAGTCCGTTTTGTGGGAAACACTAATAACTAAGCTACTCATTTGGATCATTCACACAGTGTGAAATACAACTGAATGTGGGGGCCATTTGGCACATTATATCATACAATCTGTAATATGTAGCACCTCCAGTTTATTGCTATCCTACATTTTGAACGCAACCAGCAGGGCGCGAACTAACCACTTTCCCTCCCTGTAGCTGCATAAACATTAATTTCCATTGTGATTCATATTCATTTATAAACAGTCATCATCCTGAAGTATTAAAGAACTCGCATTCTAATGTGTTACTCCAACACAGATGGGTCTGGTTCAAATTTAAGTCATATATTAAAGGAATAGTTCAGTCAAGAAATGTTTCTAACAGTGAATAAAAGAAAGTAACCACCAATGGCATCACGCTTACTGGTGCTTAGCAGCTTCCATTCATTTTTAGCCACATTAGCATGCTTGGTCAACCTATTCTTTTAACATTAGCCCTAATAGCGGAGACGGTTTATGAGGAGCCTGGCCACTTCCTATTTCCCCTATTATATCAAAAACATTATCGCAAAACCCCAGAGGGCGTCCACAAGCGAGTCTGAGTGAATGGGAGTAAATGGAGCTCAACAGCTAAAACAAAAAGTTAAAATAGTTTCACTCACCCAGAACTTTAATTTTAGAAAGTAAAAGGATGAATTTCACTAAAAAAAAGCAAAGAAAACTCACCTGTATGTTTCGTTTTTTCTACAGCACATGGTTGTTGGGCAGCAGGACGCTAACATTACTGCTACTGAGTGCTAATTGGTTGGCGAGCGAAGCAGCTCATTGGCTGTTGGCGCTCACAGACGTCATGAACATCCATGAGGCGCCATTTTAAACTCCAATAAATCGCGTTTAAAAGCTCGTAAAAATATAAGTGTTAAAATTTTATGCTGTTCTGTGTTCAGGAATTAATGTATTCCTTTAAATTAAAAATGTTTTAGCATTTATAATCTATGATTTTGCTCAAATGCTCCATTTTAACCCATTCATTTTGGACTCGCTCGGGAGCGCCCTCTAGCGTTTGAGAAACCCGGAAGATATTATAGAGTGGTAACTGTCTTCTCTACAAGATCTCTGCTAATAGTGCATGAATGTGGCACTTTTGAAGGAAGATTGCATACTTACATAAACCTGCCATGCGATGTTCGAGCTGCAGTCATGAAGACAAATTTGTTGATTTTACACACAATCGTGCCTTTGATGAACTTTAAGTGAACTTATACATACAAATATATATACAAACGTAGACCTCTTCAGAAACCTGTTGCCTGGCCAAATAGCTAGCCTGCTACATTGTGTTTGTTAAGGGGCGCTAACAGTTTGTCATGCTATCATGATTTCTCCTCCTCGTTGCCCAGCCCTGGTGTGAACGGTTATTTTTAACTACATTTTGGTTTTAGATATTGTTTGTTACTTTGAAGAAGCCTTTTTTCCCCCCTGTAGTGTCCTGTGTGCATTAGCTTAGCAGAAATGCTAATCTCCTCTATGGGCTCAGTCTGAAATGTCTCCATGCTTCCTATGTAGTGCACTGCATATGCTTGACTTCTGCACCCAAATAGTGCACTAAATGTTGGGGAGTCATCGAATAACTGAATGTAAATGGATTTCTGATAGATATATAATGAACTATTGATGAGTAGACGGCATCTTTTCATGACCTACATAGTGCACTACACGTAGAGTAGGAGCCACTTGAGATTCAGCCTTGTGAGTTCCTCTCGGTCTATGTACTCATGTTCTGCGCAGTGTGGAAAGTAAACGCTGATGTCAGTCATGTTCATTAGAACATGAAAGGTGAACAGTTTTAATAAACCTGGTAGATACCACCTGTATTTATATCTTTCTGTTTTGATTTTGTGTTGGGCTGTTAAATCTGTGTGCCTTATAGTGTAACTTCTGAACAGTTCTTGTTTTCTATCCACTAGTAAAGTAGCCTCCTTTTGACCCTGATCCGTCTGGATGTCTTTCTTTGCTTAAACTGTGGGTGTCAAACGTATAGCCCCTGGAACGGGACTGTTCCAATTCGGTCAGGTTCATTCAGAATCCACACTCTTAAAAAACAATGCTTCTCAAAGGGTTTTTTTTTAGTAAGGAAAATGGTTCTATGTAGAACCATGAACACTCAAAGAACCCTTGGCATGATGAAAGGGTAATTTGGAACCATCTATAGCACTTTTTCCATCAATCTGAAGAACGCTTTCATGATGCAAAATGCAAATGCAGTGGGTTCATGGTTCTTATTTAGAACCATTTTCTGTATTAAAGAACCATCTTTTTTAAGAGTGGATATTTTAGGTTTAAATCAACTTGTGGATCATAACTGATCGTAATGACTGATAGAACACTAGACCAACGCCAAGCAGGTATTGGTCTAGTGTTCTATCCGTCATTACGATCAGTTATGATCGTAATGACTGATAGAATGCTGGGTTAAAAACAAACCACATTTGAGTCATATCCAAACCCCATGACCAGTGCTGGATCACTAACGGAACACACATTGGGTTAATCTGACCCAAAAGATATGGTTAAGTTGTGTCTTTTTGACTTTTTGATTTTGTATGATCTTTTACTAAATAACATAAATGTAAAATCATCAAATTATTGCTAAACAATGACAAATTGTCAAAAATCATATGTTCTGGTATGTTTGTTTCAACGCTTTAAATTGTTTTGGAAGGTTATGCATCCTTAGATATTATATTACAATGGATGTTAGCAAATACAGTACCTAGATCAAGTTTACTGCCACTGCCGTTCTCACTGCAGGTTTGTTGTAAAGGAGGTTTGCTGGAGTTTTTCATTCGCTTGTGTGAATAAGTAGTGCTAGGTCAACGTAACCATATCTTTTGGGCCAGATTAACCCAGTGTTCTGTTAGTGACCCAGTGCTGGTCATGGGGTTTGGATATGACTCAAATATGGTTTGTTTTTAACCCAGCATTATTTTGAGTATAAGAAGTAAAACCTTGGTTGGGTTGAGGTCACCCATTCAGAAATCTGACATATGACCATAAATGGACATACTGTATATTATAAAAAAGTCAGGCAGATATATATTTAAAATTATATGTGCATATATATTGGGTACCTATATATGTATCAAATAGTGGTCATATGCTGTATATATTCATCCCAGTGCAGTTATAATGGTTACTTTACTATTATCTGTTTGCTTTTAAATATTAATGTATTTAAATGTGTCAGGGAACAATATTTTAATTTATTTAACGTTTTAATGACTTTATTGCACTGCTTACAATGTGCACATCTTTAGTTTGATTATATAGTGACAAAGAAGATGCTTAAAAACCTTATATAATATATGAATAAAGTATGCCATTCATATATGAGTAATGTTTTCCCTCCTATTTTGTTCTATATATGTTTGTGTCACACATCTGTGTTTTATGTGTTGATATATGGCTGAAATGTACGTCCCATATTTGAAATTGCCAGTGTCATGTATGTTGGCGTGTATGTTACATATGTGTCCCTATGTGATAAATATATACAGTATAAGAGAAATCCATATTTGCTAATGTGTGTCATATGGCAGTATACAGACTTCAAATACATGAATAAATGAATACAGATTTTTGTATCGGCAAAAAAATAAAAAAAATACCAAAAAGTATTGACAATAAAACTATTTTGATTGTTAATTTTAACGCTTTGTCAAATATACACAAGAATAAAACACATGTATCAGTATTATTCGATGCAGAAAGCAGAGGCGCAAGTCATTCTGATTGGATGGAGCTGTGATGACGTATGAAATGTCCGCTTCGACCATTCGACAGTCCGAAAAGAATCGAAAGGTTCGCGATTTCTACCATCACCATTTTACATCACTAGAAACAGCACTACTGTCTGAGTTAACACGAGCTCACAGCAGTCGAGGAGCTGTTTCAGCCCAAAGCCCAAACAAATAAGCTGCTCTTCATGTTATTAACCAGCAGGAGGCGCTATTACACGCTGTTTTTGAAACGCGTGGAGTAGTTCACTCTCTTTCGTACAGGTCTTCACTGCTTTACAGAGCTTTGTGTCGACATCACCGTTATTTCCTGCACGTTTCTCTGATATTAAACCGGAATACTAAACAACAGTTTTCAACCTAATCTGCCTAATAAAACAGCACGAGCACGCTCAGCGCCTTCAATCCGGCCACAGTAGCTGCTGACTGATTAGGAGAAATCAGAGTCAGCTGAGCTGGTCTGAAAGCCCACTCTCAGCTTCACTCTGTAACCTCCACCTACAGGCCCTCTGTGAAGGACAGAGCGGAGAGAGCGAGAGAGAGTCCACACTCAGGTAATGGACAGCAAACAAACCAAATCTCGTCCAGTTTTACAAAGGGTTTGTTGACTGAACCCCAATGTGATGGAAAACCATTTAGCCTGAGTTTGTACATGTTTATATGTCATGCATGAATTTAAGTCTATCTACCTTAATTATTAATATGTATATTAATTATATCAGGAAAGTGTGTGTGTGTGTGTGTGTGTGTGTGTGTGTGTGTGTGTGTGTGTGTGTGTGTGTTGAGGTCCGGCGTAGACGATGGCATACAAACATGGAGGAAGACCACTAGTATCTTTTGGTAGAGTTCAGGAGTTCTCAGGTATGATTTACTCTTACAGCTCCACATTGATTCACAACTTAACTGCTTATACATAAATATTCTGGCCACTTTATTAGAAACACTTTCCTTCTGCTTCCACTCACTGGCCACTTTATTAGAAACACCTCCCCTGTGTTTCCATTCACTGCCCACTTTATTAGAAACACCTCCCCTGTGTTTCCATTCACTGGCCACTTTATTAGAAACACCTCCCCTGTGTTTCCATTCACTGGCCACTTTATTAGAAACACCTCCCCTGTGTTTCCATTCACTGGCCACTTTATTAGAAACAACTACATTGACCTTTCTTATGTTTACACTTACTTTGTAATGTCCACCCACCTCATAGCTCCACGATACAGATGTATATTTACAGCATGTAGCCCAACTGTTTCTATCTATTTATTATCCTCAGTGTCAATGGTCAGTTACAGAGGTCACAGAGCTGCAGTGTCACTACCATGTCAGTGTCATGGAGTGTGGTCCTCCACCAAAATATCTGGACAGTGGTGGTCCATTTCAGATAGGTTACAAAGCTCAAATGGCTAGTTAGTGTAGGTAAGCCAGGTGGATGCAATCTGACAGTTCAGTGTATAGGAAGGGAAATGTTTCTCTCTGTTTCACAGAAATACAGACCACTCATGCGTCCCTGAAGGCCAGTCCGCCCCACAGCACCTCCTACAGGATCCTCCAGGAGGAAGAGAAGGTGAAGAACAGCTCCCTTCAGGTACAGCATAGAAGAAAACGAGCATTACTGACAAACACAGAAGCTCCTGATGTGCGAGACTAAAGATTGAGGGACACTTCTGTTCTAAGAGGATATTATAAGTCAGTTGTATTGCTTACTTGAGTCACTGATTGACATTTCTAGTTACACAGATGTTTAAATATGTGTTCTCCTTCCTGTTTACAGGAGCAGCTTATTGAAAGAGATCAGTACATCGCCCGGCTGCAGGATGCACTTCGGTTAGAGAGGGAGAGGGTATGTCATAAACAGCTATAAGCAGTCTCAGATAGCATGTGGATGTGGGCAACTCCTGGCAAACGTATGGCACTGCTGGCTCACTGTTGGCACTGGCAAACTGCATGGCAGCCAAAAGCAGCCCGCATTACAACAAGCGTATCTAGCCTACATATCCTAAAACAGATCTGGGGCCCTTTTGTCAGAGATATGGATACAGATACAGGAGCTTTCATGACATCCATAAATCCTTAATCTATAGTCATTAATATAGAGTTGATCCCCTCTTTGCAGCTGTAACACCTTCCACTCTTCTGGGAAGCTTTCTACAAGATTTTGCAGTATGTTTATGGGAATTTCTGCCCAGTCATCCAGAAGAGCATTTGTGAGGTCAGACACTGATGTTGGACGAGAGGGCCTGGCTCGCAATCTCTGTTCTTGTTTATCCCAAAGGTGTTTGTTGGGGTTGAGGTCAGGGCTCTGTGAGGGCCAGTCAAGTTCTTCCTGACCAAACTCACCCAGTCATGCCTTTATGGAGCTGCTTTGTGCACTGGGGCTCAGTCAGGCTGGAACAGAAAAGGTTCTTCCCCAAACTGTTCCACAAAGCTGGAAGCATAGAATTGTCCAGAATGTCTTTGTTATAGCATTAAGATTTCTCTTCACAGGAACTAAGGGTTCTAGACCAACCCCTGAAAAACAACCCCATATCATCATCCCTCCTCCACCAAACTGTACAGCTGGCACAGTGCAGTCAGGCAGGTAACGTTTTCCTGGCATTCGCCAAACCCAGACTCATCCATCAGACTGACAGATAGAGAAGTGTGATTCGTCACTCCACAGAATACGTTTCCACTGCTCCAGAGTCCAGTGGCGGGGTGCTTTACATCACTCCATCCAATGCTTGGTGATGTAAGGCTTGCACGCAGCTGCTCAGCCATGGAAAACCTGCCATGAAGCTCTTGGCGCAGTTTTTGTGCTGATGTTAATCCCAGAGGAGGTTCGGAGCTCTGCAGTTTTTGAGTCAGCAGAGCTTTGGTGACTTTTACACACTATGCGCGACCCGCTCTGTAACTTTACGTGATCTGACACTTCATGGCTGAGTTGCTGTGGTTCCTAAACGCTTCCACTTTTCAACAACACCACTCACAGTTGATTGTGGAATGTTTAGGGGGGGTTTCATGAATTGACTTGTTGCGATGGTGGCATCATGTTACAGTATCACGATCGTACTCAGTGAGCACTTTAGAACGACCCCTTCTTTCAGAAATGTTTATAAAGGCAGACTGCATGGCTAAGTGCTTGATTTTATACACCTGTGCCTTTGAGAATGAATGAAACTGAATTCACTGATTAAAAGGTGGGTCCCATTACTTTTGCTCCTATACTGTATATCAGTCCTTTATTGGTCATTGGAACAATATTCAAAGGGTGAACTTGGTACATGTTTACTGTTTGCCTGCAAGAACAAAATTAACCTAATTAGAAAGAAAAACAGATTTTGGGTCCCTGTGTCTTTAAGTAGTCCAGCAAAATCTGCGTCAACACTACAAAAAAAAAATCCTAGTTTGCAATTGAATTCAAACTTGGTTTAAAATGATTTGTGGCTTAAAATTTTATGCCCATCAAACACCAAATAGCAAGTTAACATTACTAAACCAGTTTCAGATAAACGTCATTCCACAGCGGTATGGAAGGAGTAAGTGTGGGCCAGGACTGAGTCCACACTTCTGCTATCTGGGGGTTGATTTTTTTTCAATTTTCACCCAATTTATCCAGTTTCACCTGCTATGTATCATAACCCAGTGCCAGCAGTCTGAGAGGTTAGCATGTGCTTCCTCTGAGACACATGAACTTCTATCACATCTGACCACCACTAACGCAACATCACTGGACAGCTCAAGATGCTTGGAGGAGAACACTAACTGCCAGCCGATTGTCAGTGAACAGAAGCCTGTGTTGACTATCATCGCGCTGAGTAATGGGCATCTTTTGGACTTCTGGTCACAGGTGGCTGTGGCATCACAGGGGATCAGTCTACAGATTACAGGGCCAACCCTTATAAGTTGCGATGCAAGCCAGGTTTTACTTATATCCCAGCAAACCTTGTTCTTTTTGCAGTGGTGAGGCTACAGTGTGCAGGGTTGAACAGAGAATTGACACCAGACTGTTATTGCTTGTTCAGTAGCATGTATGTCTCCTTATTTCTGCCTCTCTATCTTCAGAATGTGAAGCTGCAGTCTCGGTTTAACCAGCAGGGGTTGGAGCTGAGGCGCAGAGAGCAGCACGCCAACAGAATGAGAGAAAAACTCTCTCAGGTCACTGACCGACACAGGGACCGCGGAGCGTGTAAGACAAACGCACACAATAAAAACAAAAACAACTGATACTGCACATATTTAACAGGCTGGATCAGTGTCTGGATTCAGGAAACAAGAGGAACCACTAGAGTGATGTTTGTCCTCTTATAGTATCCTTGCTTCAACTTCTTATAGAGGAACTCCACTGATTTTTTTTTCTTTAAAAGTATACCGTGAAGATGTAAACGAAGTCATTCAGAGTGGTTTGGTACGAAAAGTTCTAGAGAAACTTACTCATCAGAATTATTCACAGTGGTGCTGATAGGAACCAGATGTCTGAAGAGTTTAATGCCTCTAAAATGGTTATGAAAATGCTGCATGATGTCTCAGACATTGATTTATGATAGTCTTGAAAAGGTTTTAGCTTGAATTCTAATTTTTTTTTAAAAAACATTCATGACGGATGGGTACATGCAGGAAGTTAGAAGGCAGAAATGCCTTCAAAGAAGTGCCCTCAAAGAAAATGTATCTTTTCAGATTTATGACTATTTTACCATCAACATTACATATGAAACAGAAGACTTGTGTAGGTTCACTGGTGGTTTTGAATAGTAAATAAAATGTCTATATCTGTGTTGTAGACACTGTGACCCCTGGTTCCTATCAGCACCACTGTAAAGACATCTGAGTCTGTAAGTTTCTCTACAGTGAACCATTTCACACCAAACCACTCTAAATAACTCTGTTTACATCTCATTTTCAACCAATGAATTATATATACTTTTTGAAAAAGTTCACCTTTAATTCAACCTGAAATCCAAACAAACCTTTTCCATTCTGTTCATATAAACCATGATTCATCATAACATATAGAAAACAAAATATTTCTGTTTTTTCCTGTAATCTTCCATCAAAATGTAAAGACTTTTGGTCTAACCTGTAGTTAAAACCCGTTTTACATCACCGTACACCAGTAGGCAGGAGACAATAACATTAACCTATAACATCATGTTTCTCCTCTGGTTTCCACCACTGTCTTCAGAGACCCTCCATGATCCTGCATTTCACTCACTAATACCTCACAGTGCAGAAGGAGGATGTTACTGTTTCCCATTCACACTGACTTTAATGACTTTTTAAAATGTCCCCCTAGTGGCCAGAGTTCAAACTGCATTATCATGTTAAAATGAACATGATTAAAAAGAATAAAATGGATTTTTTCTGTTTTCCTGCCTGCAGCCATAGAGATCATGAATGCTCTTCCGAAGCCATCAGGACGAAGGGAGCCTGTGTCCAGGGCTGCGAGGGCTGATTGGAGGTACTCTGTCACTCTGACACTCTCTGTGTGTGTTCCTGTCTTTCTCTCTGACTATCTGTGTCTCTGACTCTGTGTCCCATCCTGCCACTGCCTCACGCTCTATCTCTCTCTCTTTCTCTCTCTCTCTTGGACTCTCTCTATCTCTCTCTGACTCTATCACTCTGACTCTTATGTTCTGTGTGTGTTCCAGTCTTTCTCTCTGACTGTCTCTGACTCTGTGTCTCATTCTCTTCCTCTCTGTGTGTCTCTCTCACTCTTTCAGTGTGTGTCTCTCTCACTGTCTTTCGTGTGTCTCTCTCTCTCTCTCTCTTTGTGTGTGTCTCTCTGTCACTCTTTCTGTGTCTCTCTGACTCACTCTCTTTGTGTCTCTCGTGTCTCTCTGTCTCTCTTTGTGTGTGTGTCTCTCTGTCTCTTTGTCTCTCTCTGACTCACTCTTTGTGTGTCTTTCTCTGACTCACTCTTTTTGTGTCTCTCTGTCTCTCTCTTTGTGTGTGTCTCTCTCTGTCTCTCTCTCTGTGTCTATCTGACTCTCTCTCTCTCTCTCTCTCTCTGTCTCTTTCTCGCTTTGTGTGTCTGTGTGTCTCTTTGACTCACTTTCTTTGTGTGTCTCTCTCTGTCTCTCTCTTTGTGTGTGTTTCTCTGTCTCTAACTCACTCTCTTTGTGTGTGTTTCTCTGTCTCTAACTCACTCTCTTTGTGTGTGTTTCTCTGTCTCTAACTCACTCTCTTTGTGTGTGTGTCTCTGTCTCTCTCTTTGTGTGTCTCTGTCTCTCTCTTTGTGTGTGTCTCTCTGTCTCTCTCTTTTTGTGTGTGTGTGTGTGTGTCTCTCTGACTCTCTCTGATGGACTTTCTCTCTCTGTGTGTCTCTATCACTCTCTTTCTAAAGGAAAGACCAGGCTCTACAGCTGATGTTGGAGAGGAGGGAGGCGGAGCTTAGAGAGGCTATGAAGCTCCGCCACAGCCTCACAACTCTCCTGCACGCGCTCAGAACTGACATGCAGCAGGTGAGACAGAGCTGGTTTATTCAAATCTGATATTCCTCATTTTTCAGGTCTCTTTTAAAATTAGAGGAATAGTTTGATCAGAACATTTTAAACACCCCAAACTCCAAACATAATCAGCCTCGACATGATTCTAAAGTCTGCTGTCTTAGTTAAACTGGAGCTACGAGGCTAATGTAGCTAAAAAGTAATGAAAGCTTATGTACACCAATTAGCATGGTGCTAAACTGCATGACTAGATCACTACATTGGCCTCGGACTGTGTGGAGTTGTTCAGTATCTCTAATAGACTTGATTACATGGTTTCTGTCGCTGACACTGTTATTTATACACAAGGACTAAAGTACATGAGAGTAGCTGGAAACAGTATCAGAGGTCGCCTTGAAGTCTGAACTGTGTCTGCACTTTTGTTCATTTGTGTCCGTTTTGTGTCCTTCACCACCCCCAAAGGTGGTATGAGTGACTCCAAAGTCACCCCCAAGACACATTACACCCCCACTCATAAATATATTAATGGCGTGTGCGAACAGGGCCTGAGATTGACGCTGTGCTCTATTCTGTCTGTTTGTTGAGACCAAGTGACGTTTCAGCCCTTACATTAAGAACCTGTGGACAGACCCTGCAGGACAGTGTGGATGCTGAGGAGGAGGAGGAGGAAGAGGAGGACGAGCAGCAGGAAGTGGACACCAGCTGGCTGGTCCAATCAGAGCAGTCGCTCGGTGATCATGTGACAGGGGGTGTGGTTCTGGAGTGGACGCAGGTGAAGAAGAGACTGAGGGAGCTGCAGTCGGAGAGTAAGAGCTGTTACTTTTACTTTTTCGATGTTTACGGTGTTTTCAGAGCTGTGTGGACACGCAAGTCTGATCTTTTCAAATAAGGCCACTTTCATATGTGGTCCTAGATCCGATGCATGTCCAATTCGTGGCCTTGCGACCTTAATGAGAACTCAAGATTGGAAATTAGGTGTTTTATATTCACTGCGCATGCACCATTCTTCAGTGTTAACATGACAGCAGCGCCAAACCTGAAGTTAAAGCCAGTAAACAGTGCAAAGCATCTGACCATTTCTCACCTTCATCTCACTCTAATAGTGAACAGCAGAGAGCAGTTTAGGGCTGATTATCTTGGCGGCGAAGACTTGTTCTGCTGGTTACTATATTCATAGTTCACGGGGTTCACTCACAACGTTATTGATTAGACTTTGCATATCGTCCCTGTCCAAAGAAAACCGTGTATCTCCATTTTTGTCGATTTTTATTTTTCTATGTCAGTTCGACACACCAGCCGTCCTTTATGTCGTCTGAGAATTTCATGATGAATGGACCAGTAGAAATGCTCTAAAATTACTTGGAATAAAATCTCTGTACATTGACTTACATTGAAAGGTAAGAATGTTTTTGCCGTCTCCTGTAAAGTTACTATTTTTTGCAGCAGAGTTTCCATGTGTGGACTGGGGAGTGAACAGTGCATTGGGAATCTTTAACTATGTTTACTTACTTGATCAAAGTCTTTTATTTTGGGGAAAAAAGTGGAAAAGATTTGCATGAAATGGGCCAATTAAGGCAAAAAGATTTGATTTTTGATCTGGTGACGTAAACATAGCATAAGAAATATAGGTTCAGCAAACATGCTAACTTTTCTAGCAATGAATGGTAGTTGGTAGGCCTCAATTAACATAATATAATTGTAAAGTAACGTTTAACTTTTTTTACTGAACCCGTCCGTTAACGATCGCTGCATTTGTGTGCACGTGTGGTTGTAATTTGTCATTTTGTTATGTGTGTGTGAATGTGTAGGCCCTGTTGCTGTGAGGACGGATCAGGAGAAGCTCCTGGCTCAGCTTGAAGAAGAGCTGGAGCAGAGCAGAGAGTTGGTCCAAGTTCAGCAGCAGCTACTGCAGGTCTTAATACATACCTAACAGACCTAATACGCACCCAGTATGGCCGACACGTCCACTAAACAAGGCTTATACATAAACAAATGTTGTGTGGCCAATTTATTAGAAACACCAATCTTGTACCTTCATTGGCCGTTTAATCAGAAACACCAACCATATGGTTTACACAGGTTTACGTTTACAGACTGTAGTCCAACGGTCACCAACCCTAGTCCTGGAGATCTACTTTCTGTGGAGTCTAGTTCTAACCACAATTTGCCACACCTGCTAATTAACTTCAAGTCCCTGATTGGCTGGTTTGGATGCATTCGTGTTGGGTATGGAGGGGGCAGCGTGTTAGATGCAAGTCTGACTTAAACTCCACAGGAAAGTAGATCTCCAGGAAATCATACTAATAATAGTATGAATAGTACTAATAAAGTGCTTGTTGAGTGTATGTTAAACAGAGGATGGTGACTGACCCATCTCCTCTCTCTCACTGGCCCTTATTTCAGTTAAACATTGATATGACTACCAGATAGATCACTGATGACCATCATTTATTTTAGACTGGCACTGGTGGTGTTTTACTGTAAATGTCAAAAAAATTCTCTCTCTCTCTCAGGACAATGTGGACTCTCCTCTTCCAGATGCTCTGATCGACTCCTATTATCTGGAAGAATGGGAGCGGCTTCAGGACCGGTGGGTGGAGCTTAAACATCAGAGGCGGAGCTTCCAGCAGGAGAGGCAGGCTTTCACTGATGCTGCAATCCGATTAGGGCCATGAGGTGAGAAGATTTTTCAAAAACTCCTGCTGTATTCAGTGGTTGAAATGTAAACGGAGTCATTCAGAGTGGTTTGATGTGAAATGATTCATAGTGGTGGTGATAGGAACCAGGAGTCACCATGACTACAACACAAATACAGCCATCTTATTTACTATCCAAAACCAACAGTTTCACAGGTCTTGGAGGAAGCCTGTGTTAGCCTTCACCCTCCTAGCGTTGATAGTATCGTGTGACTGGGGGAGTCCTAACTAGCGGGTGGATTTGGCAACGACTAAATTGGGGAGATAATTGGATTAAAATCCAAAAAATAAATAAATAAATATATGGAATGTTAATGATCATCATTGATCATTTAATGGTCATCAGTGATCTAACTGGTAGTTTCATGTAATAGTGGAAAATCTGAAGAGGGGGCTCAGTATTCTCACTAAGAGGGCATTCTGATGGAGACTCACAGTATTCCAACTCTGAGTATTCCCAGTATGGGGCACAATATTCAGTTTTCAGAAGGGGCAAAGTATTCCAACTAAGGGATCAGTGTATTCCCAATGAGGGGGCGAAGTATACCCAGTGAGTGCAAGCAATATTCCAATTGAAGAAGCACAATATTCCCACTGAGGGGGTGCAGCATTCCCACTGAGTGGGTGTGATATTCCAATTAAGGATGTGGAGTATTCCCACTGAGGGGGGCACAGCGTTTCCTCTGTGGAAGCACAGCACTCCCAACGAAAGAGTTCAGCATGTTCACAGAAGGGCTCAAAGTATTCCGACTGCAATATACCAGCTAAGGAGGGCACAGTATTTTTTCTGAGGATTCAGAATTCCCAAGCTAATGGGCACAGTATTCACACTGAGGGGTGCAGCATTCCCAACGAGTGGCGGCAATGTTCTATTCCAGTTTAGATCATTTCAGGCTTCTTCATCCTTGTTCTGGTGAGTGTCAGTCTGTGTAATATATCAAGAATACTGGATCCTTTGTTGTTAATAATTGATCCAAGGAAGCAAAAGCTGTTGACCATTTCTACATCTTGACCATCAGTGGTGAACTTAATGAGAATAATTTATTATTATTGCCATAACCGGATAAATAATGTAAGCTGACCTTGGGGGAGGGGGGTATGGACCCCTTTTCATACCCTATTAGGGATTATAATGTATTCTCTAATATTCCCTGTAGTGTCCACTTCTTGATGCGATATAGAAAATGGGTGTTAAGTGGCTGAAGTAATGATCTAACCACTTCGGTGTGTGTGTGTGTGTGTGTGTGTGTGTGTATAGAGGTGTGTGTTTGAGCAGCAGAAGGCAGCTCTCATGAAGCAGCAGTTCCTCACTACATCTCCAATAACGAAGACCAGCCACTCAAACAGGAGAGAGAGCACAGCACTCGGAGAGCTGCGTACGTATGAAACCCCACACCAGCACCACAGTGAACAAACACAGCCTAACACTGCCTTTACACTCGCTAACTACAGCACACTGTGTGTGTCAGGAATGGCAGCTCCAGACAGTCTGGCTCTCTCCCCCTGTGCTCCCATCACTCCCTCCTCTGAGGGGTCAGAGGGGCCTGGGTCAGCTCAGAACATTATGACCCCCAGCACTCCGGAACTTTACTCTGTTCTGCAGCTCAATTACTACTGCAGGTACATTCTCTGTGTCTCTCTACCTCTCTCTCCCTCCCTCCGTCTCTCACACACTCTGTCTCTCTCTGTATGTCTTTATCTGTATATGAAATAAACTGTCACTCTCTCACTCTTACCCTATCTCTCTCTCTCTCAGGTCAGTGGAGAGTCCTCCTCCTTTTCAGAAGGAGCCACAGGGAGGCGTTTTCAGCCCTGACCACCAAAACATGGATGACTGGCCTTTTTAGTCCAAACCCAGGCCTGTCTGTGTGTGTATTTATCACTGTGTGGGGACCAGAGCCTCTCTCTGCGCTGAACTCATGACATTACTCTGCTCTCTGAGAGGCAAAATGACTTATTAGTCTTATTAGACTTATAAGCAGTAAAAGAGGCCAAAGCTGATGTTTTGGTTGCTTTGGTTGGGGTTAGGTTGGGTGAAGGACGGCAGCATTTACACACATTACGCTCGGTAGTTTTTTGTGTGTGTGTTGAATGAATGGTTTTGTACATCATTTCTTTCTAAATTTATGTATTGACTAAATAAAATTCTTAAAACATTATGAATGTCATGCATTATGTTTGACTGGTTGTGCTTCAGAAAACTTGGTTTTTCTCTTTTTGTGGTGCTGAGACAAAAAGCTGAGACAAAACTGTCAGTAATCAAAAGATGGTGTGACCTTTGATAAAGTTGGTGTGAATCAGAAATCAACTCATTTTCCTTCTGTGACATATTTGTAAGTGAAACACGGCATGAGGGTCTCTGAGCTAGGGGATGGGGGGGGTGTAACATGATATTATTAACTGGAATTCCAAAATTTCTGCATAACTAAATGGTTAAGATGTAAACAAAGTCATTCAGAGTGGTTTGGTGTGAAATGCTTTGCTCTAGAGAAACTTAGTCAGAATTGTTCACAGTGGTGGTGATAGGAACCAGGCGTCCACCTCTAAAAGCTCCCTCATGTAAATTTATTACTTGAAACGATTATGAATATGCTGCCTGATGTATGACGTAGTTTAATAACAGTCTTGAGATCAGAACTGGGCTAAAAATGTGTTAAAAAAAGCATTCATAGTGGAGAGATACAAATAAATGTTATTTCCTCTACAGTAATTTTGTTTCTAAAATATGATAAATCATGCTTAATATGATCAACTGACAGGACAAAAGGGTAAAGGTTACTTTAAAAGCTATGGATGAGCTGGTTTAGGGGCTTCTCAGAGCCGAAAGTTCACGATTATTGCTGTTTAGCCCCGCCCAACATGAAGCTCCGCCCTGCAATCGAGCTGAGAAAGCAAAGCTGAGGACCGTTCATTAAGCCTGGGGCGTGGCTACATCTGTAGGCCCGCCCTCACTTTCCAGCGTGAACTCAAGAACTGCCGCCGAAATGAAAAGGGGCGTGGCTGAAGCGGCAGCGATTGTCAGTGGGCGGGGCTTGTCTATGAGCCCCGTCCACGCCCCAGGCTTGCCTCGCTGTATTTGCTGGGGTTCTCAAAGGTGGCCGCTCGCGCACGGCCGAGAGATCCCGCACGAGAGGTCAGAGAAAGGTCAGTGTTGGGGTCAGGAAGAAGATGAGTAGCCAACAGTGTGAGAATGTGTTTAAAAACAGCACTACGTTGTCACTTGACCTTCTCGTGAACCTCTCGCGCTCCTGTTCGCGTTTGTGGGCTTTGTAAAGTGAATTAGTTTTAAAGTTTGTAGTGAAAAACTCCCGGGAACCGAACAGTAGCTCGAGCGCTCCCAGAGAGGCTCACCGAGAGTTTCACGTGTGAAAAACTTCAGTTTGTGTGACGGAAAACATTGAACTCCCGTTTCCTTCAGCGGCTAATTGAGATCACTCAAAGTGCACGCTGTAATTTTCAGTCCGCTCTGTGATTGGTGCACACCTGAGCCACGCACAGAGCACGTGCACCGCCTTTTTTCTTGGTACCTCGGGGGTGAAAATGGTTGAGTTTGTGTTGATATTGTTGTTCATGCTGGCGTTTGTGGTAATGCTGGTGTTGATGGTTGTGGTGGGGTTGGTGTTAATATTGTTGGTATTGATTTTGATGTGGATAAAGTGCTAATGTTGGTGTTGAATTTCATGTTGCCCCCAATGTTGGTGTTGATTTTTTATGTTAATTCTGATGTAGTTGAGATTGGTGTTAATGTTGTTGGTGTTAATTTTGATTAACGTTTTTAATGTTAAAGTAGCTGGTGGTGTTAATGTTGTTGGTGTTGATTTTGATTTCGTTGATGGTTTTGATGTTAATGTTGATGTAGATGAGATTGGTGTTAATTTTGATGTTGTTAATGATGGTGTGGAAATTAGTGTTAATGTTGTTGGTGTTGTTTTTGGTGATGGTTTCAGTGTTAAAGTAGTTGTTGGTGTTGATTTTGATGTTATTGATGGTTTTTTTATTTTGATGTTGACAGTGTAATGAAGTACTTGATAGTGTTTACAAAGTTGGTGTTAATGTTGATGTAGTTGATGGTGTTAATGAAGTTGTTGTTATTGGTGTCAATGTTGGGTGTTGAGGTTTGTGTTCGAGTGCTGATGTTTCTCTCAGACACAATCAGAACCAACATTGACAGCAGTATTGCATATGTATGTGGTAATGTTAGTGTTGTAATTTAAGTTATTGTTGTAAAGTTAGTGTTATTTTTGATACTGGAGTTGTTGGTTGTTGGTGTTGGCATTATTAGTGTTAATGTTGGTGCTGATATTTGTGTCAATTGATGTTGGTGTTAATACTGATGTTTATATTAATGTTAATGATTTGGTTTTGATGTTTGTGTATGTTCATGATGTTGATGTAGTTGGATTTAATGATGTAGTTGGTGTTGTAGGTGTTAATGTTGCTGTTGGTGTTGTAGATGGTGTTAATGGTGCTGATGTTGGTTTTGGTGGTTATGTTGACATTGGTGCTAATGTTGCTGTTGCAGGTGATGATGCAGCCACATCAGCTACAGCGTCAGCTTTGGTGTTAATGTTGGTGTTGACACTGATGCCGGTGTTGATTTTATGTAGTTGATGTTCTTGTTAGCATTGGTGTTATTGTTGATGCATTTGAAATTGGTGTTAATGTTGGTGTTGATTGTGATGTCGTTGAATATGTTGGTGTTAATGTAGTTGATGGTGTTAATGTTGGTGTAGTTGCTGTTGGTGTCTATGTTAGTGTTAATGTTGTTGGTGTTGACCTTGATGATGGTGTTAATGAAGTAATTGTTGTTGGTTTTATTTTGATGTTGATAATGATAGTGTTATTGTTGGTGTTGATTTTGATGTTAATGGTGGTGTTAAAGTTGGTGTTGTTTTTATGTTGCTGTTAATGTTGTTGGAGTTGATTTTGATGGTAATTTTGAAGTAGTTGATGTGGTGTTAATGGTATTGGTATTCATTTTGATGTCATGGATGGTTTTGATGTTAATGATGTAGTTGAAGTTGGTGGTGATGTTTGTGTTAATGTTGTTGGTGTTAATTTTGATGTCGTGGATGTTTGTGTTATTGCAGTTAATGTTGGATTTAATGCTGTTGGTGTTGATTTAGATAATGTTGGTGTTAATGTTGGTGTTCATTTTGATATAATTGATGATGGTGGTGTTAATGTAGTTGATGTTGGCGTTAATGTTGGTGTTGATTTTGATGTTAGTGTTAATGTTGGTATAGTTGCTGTTGGTGTTGGTATTGTTGTTGGTGTTGATTTTGATGTTAGTGTTCATGTTGGTATAGTTGCTGTTGGTGTTGTTGTTAATGTTGTTGGTGTTGATTTTGATGTTGATGATGGTGTTAGTGTTGAAGTAGTTGATGTTGGTGTTAATGTTGTTTATGCTAATTTTGATGCCGTGGATGGTTTTGATGTTAATGATGTAGTTGAAGTTGGTGGTGATGTTTGTGTTAATGTTGGTGTTAATTTTGATGCCATGGATGTTTGTGTTATTGCAATTGATGTTGGATTTAATGCTGTTGGTGTTGATTTAGATGATGTTGGTGTTCAGTTTGATATAATTGATGATGTTGGTGTTAATGTAGTTGATATTGGTGTTAATGTTGGTGTTGATTTTGATGTTAGTGTTAATGTTGGTATAGTTGCTGTTGGTGTTGATGTTGTTGGTGTTGATTTTGATGTTGTTGATTTTGATGATGTTAATGTTGAAGTAGTTGATGTGGTGTTGACTTTGATGTCTGATGGTTTTGATGTTAACGTTGATGTAGTTGAAGTTGGTGGCAATGTTGATTTTAATGTTGCTGTTAATTTTGTTGGTGTTGATTTTGATGTTGATGTTAATGTTGGTATAGTTGCTGTTGGTGTTGTTGGTGTTGATTTTGATTTTAGTGTTGCTGTTAATGTTGGTGTTGATTTTGATGTCATTGTTGGTTTTGGTGTTGATTTTGTTGTTGATATTGGTCTAATGTAAATAGTTGTTTTTGGTGTAGTAGTTGGTGGTGTTAATGTTGCTGTTGATGTTGCTGTTGCAGCGCTCACTCTCAGCTGGTGTTGATGGAGCCCTCCGAGCAGAAGCAGAAGTACTTTGATCCATGGCGTGACTACCTGGGCCTTGCAGACTTGGTCACATCCATGCGGAAAGCCAGCTTGAGAGTTCCACAAGTTCCCTCCGAGCAAGCTTCGGGGTTTGGTTGGAATGATTGGCCACCACCACCGGTCTCGCCACCTTCGTCATCATCGTCACCATCTTCATCCTCGTTGCATAGTGGGATCATTGAATGGCAAGTCTCTTCAGTTCACTTTTCACATCCTGTGAGCCATGAGCATCAAGCATCACCACCAATCAGAGACTTGACGTCACCTGGTAGCATTTCCTATTCCTACTGGATGTCATTGCCAATCAAACAGGGCAAGCAACGTTCATGCAACCATTCAGAATCACCAGATAACTTTTTCGGTATCTACTGGATGTCATCGCCAGCCAAACGGAGAAAGCATGTGGTCAGTAACTGCTCAACATCACCCAGTAGCGTTTCTTCTTCCTCTCCAGAGGAGAAACAGCCCCAGCAGCAGCAGTGCGGGTTCTGCAGGCATAACGGCGAGTCGGAGAGTGTGTTCACTTCCCACCGGCTCAAGGATCGCAGCGGTTCCGTCATCTGCCCTTATTTAAGCCGGTACGCGTGCCCACAGTGTGGTGCCACAGGAGCACATGCCCACACCCGCCGCTTCTGCCCCCTGGTGGACAGCACGTACAGCTCGGTGTACAACAAATCAGGGGGAAAAGACAAAAAAAGGCAAAAATAAAAAGAAAATAATGTGAGCATGTGGGCGTTTCGCAAAGAGGTGGTGTTTTACAGAGCTGGAGTTCAGTTGGATAACTTTGGCCCAAAGTTGAAGACTGTCCAATGGGAATGTCCCTCAGCTTGGACAGGCTTGACGTTAAGCTTAAGTCATCTGGCTGACCTGAGAAATCCTGCTTTGTGAAAGATCCCCCAGGAGGGTATTTCACAAGAGGAAGGGGGATTTCTCAGTTTAGCCAGATAACGTAAGCCTAAACTCAAGCCTGTCCAAAAAGAGAAGAGCTGAGGGACATTTCTATTGAGGGACAGTCCTTACCGTTAGGCTTATCTGGGTAATTTAGAAATCCTGCTTTGTGAAATACTCCCCAGGACAAGAACGCTGTGGGGTAAAAACAAGAAAAGAACATGACCAGACAAGAAAAACCAAAAATAGTGTGACCAAGAGAAGAAAAAAGAAGAACGTATGTACAAAGTTCAAAATAACATGACCACTCCCTTAATTTAAAGCTATACAGTAGCTGGCTGTGGGGGATAGTGCTTTTTATGCCTTTGTTTACTCGGATTTGGTTTGCAACAAGAAGGTGATGTGACATTGACACCTTACTGCTACTTTTAATCTAAAGATTATGCTATAATGCTCTTACGTTTTTCATTTTTCCACAAAAAAATGCAACATTACACTGAAGAAAATGCAGTTTATGTGATTCAAATGTGATTTTGTAACATAATGAACCTATTTAAATGCAAACGGTGGCTGAATTTGGAATAAATTTACCACAAGAAGGAAATAAACCACAACAGCATAAAATAATTTTTAAGTTTGCTAACTTTTTGCCGTAATTATGTTGGTCGTGTGCAAACATTTGGGTCAAATTCCATGTTTTGTTGATTTTCTAAGTGAAAAGTGAACACATCCTCTACAGAGAACACACTACTGCACTTTTTTAAATACAGAATTACAGAACGTAACACATTTGAGGGAAAAATAAAACATCAAATGTGGCCTGTGCAAAAAATTATGGCACATTTTTATACGTTAAACTCAGCAAGTGAAGAGAAATTGTACTGTAAAATGTGCAGAAAAATACCATATTTTTGTTCCCTGCAGACGATGTGTTAACTTCTTTTCAATGAAACATGTAATTTGACTGGGATGTTAAAACTGTAGCATACAACTCTATTTTATGTATAAGAAATTATGTTGCCAATCACATTTAAATGCAGTATTTCTGTTTTCAGTGTATAATGTTACTTTTAGTGTTTGAAATTTAGTCATAATGTTATTGTTGTTTTAAGTGTTTATAGAGCTACAAAGGCCGTGCTGTAAAGACCCAGAAAGGCCTGCGGATTCCAGTTTGTGTTTGAACTGCTTGCACTTTGTTATACTCACTGATGTGTGCACTTTGTGGTGATCGTTTGTGGATTTTGCATTTGCTTGTGTGCTGTTTCACTCATGTGCGTTTTTATTAGCTAGGTTGGTTGAAGCTCATTGACAACAAACTTGTATTCACAGGTGCGAATCTGCGTCGATTCAGTATGAATGTTATCATTTTTATCATTTAGTTGAGAAGCTCATATTCAATCATTTTAATATCAGCAGCTGATGAAGGATGGTTGTTAAGTTCTTTGTGATTGAACTGCTTGTGTTTGATGGAAAAATGACTTTTTAAATGTTGTTTTTATACTCTTAAAATAACGTTGCCTTCTTTTAAGCTAACTTTGTGTGTTCACGTATTTGCTTAACTTTACATGCTTTTTGCTCGATTTGGAAGTTTCAGCACTTTTGGGTTTGTTTGCATGTACAAATATTTTGAATATCTAATAATGTGTTAAATAATTGCCATGTTTTGCTTCTTTGTGTGTCTAAATCTGAAACGAAGTGAAAGCTCATATAATTCAGAATGTGCTTTTTTTCCAGACCAGCTTTTTCGTATGTAAAATAAAAATGGCATGGGGAAGTGACTGGTTTTAAAGTACAGTCTTTATTCTTTTGGAGCATAAGAGTCTTTAACAACATGGAAATGGTCCACTTTAAACAATATACTAACTGATCCCTGACAGTTACAGTCATTTCAAATGAAGAATCCAAGCTGGAATGCAGGGCTGAATGACAAAACAGTGGAAAAAGGGCCTTTTGTTTCAATGTTAGAACTAAAAAGCAAATCCAAATATGGTTATTTAGAGTTTTCAGCACATATGCTAGTCTATTTTGGATATATAAGACCAAAACAATATTAAAATGTATTTCAACAGGAACTGAACTGAAAAGCATCATTAAAATTATTGAGTTCTTTGAACAATGGGGCAGATTTCTGTACCTGTATGACAAAAATGTTATAAGAAATCGACCCAAACATCTAACGGCATACTTCAAACATAAAAACAACCTCCAAATGAAGGAACTGTGAATGTAAGCTTACTTGTATTAGCAAACCTGGGCAAGTATTTCACAAAGTAGGGTTTCTCAGTTCCGTTTCGCCTGAAAAAGCCCCAAATACTAACCTAATATATACCAAGCCTGTGCATTTATAGAGATGATTCTCTATTGAAAATGTATAATAGTCATTCAACAATCCTTTGCACAAAAATGAATGACTATTAACAGGTTAAATTAGTCCTCTGACAGAAGGTGACCATTTGACCACCAGGCGCTATGGTGTAAATGCTAAATCTCAGAATTGTGTGGGCCGTGAGGGCGGCGAATCGGTGCCTTCAGGGGCCGGTTTCCACGGCGCAGGAGTTCTGTTTCTCTGTGGGCCGCCATCACCGTTCGGCTGAGCGTACACGTGTTTGAATAAGAGAGAAAAAACAAGGGAGATTGCATAGTTGAGCAGTATATATCGTCCCTATCACATCAAAACCTTGCAACTGCAGACCATTACCTAAAAACAGCTGCCCTTCACACTGTGTGAACGGTTCATGATGAATTGACGAACAGAAATGGTCCAAAATTACTTCAAATAAAATGCTGTTACATTTTTTTTCCTTGATACCCATTTATATCATTTATGTGGTTTTATGCACCAAAAACAGTCATAATTCATTATTATTTGACCATTTTCCAACATCTCTGCACTGGACAATTAGGGCTTTGAATTTACTTGAATGTCCATCAGTTTCACATGAATAAAATAGATTACCCAAACACAGTAATCGCCACTGATGATGAGCTAAAAGTCCATAATTGTATTAATATATTTCATTCATGTTTATTCGTTTAGTTCATTTCAGTGAAGCAAATTCAATGTACTGTTTTTTTCAGTGTTGTTCATAATTTCTTACTTCAGGGAGGAGAGTTCTTTTACAAGGCCACAGACAAGCTCTGTGGCATCCTCTTGGTGAAGAAAGGCTTCTGGGATAGGTTGGTCATTCACCTCCATGCTGATATGAAGCAAATAAAACACAGAAAATGCAAAAGTATGTACTGAAAACATTCGCAGTCTTCCATCTTCATGTGTGAACACATAAGGGGATGTTTCATAAAGCTGGATTTCTCATTTACCCACATAATTTAAGACAAAAGTGTGGAAGGCACAATTGGAGTGACCACTGGAGCTTAAGTTAACTGGCTAACTGGAAATCATGCTTATGAGAACCCCACCAGACTGGAATCACCAATATATCATAATATACTACCCAATATTCTCAATATGTCATAGGCCTGTATTAACTAGAATATCTGTGTTACTTCAGAGTCCACCACAGTCACCCTCAACCTCACCTTAATGCGATGCTGTTCAGCTGGGAGTCTGTTACAGAGTAAAGAGACAAGGCAACAATGTCGTGGTCCTGAGGAAACTCAGTAGCAGGGGTCAGGGTGGAGTTGGGGACTGGTTTCTGGGTAATAGCAAGGGTCACCATTGGGTCACAAGCATCTTGGCCTAGATGAAACTGATACAAAACAAGCACTAGTGTGGTAAAAGTGTTATTTTTATGGCTAGTAGCTACATCTTATTACAACGTTGTAATGCAGTCCACTATTCTTAGATTAAGCAGTTGTTATAGGCCAAACATAAAATACCCAAACCCTATCCCTACCCAAATATAGTCAATCATCCAAGACATGATTGGTTCTTTAGTTTTACACTGGAGTTACAAGGCAAATGTAGCTAACAAGTTAGTTTATACCCCACCAATTAACGCTGTTCAGACTGCATGCCTACAACATCTAAGTCAAACTGTTAAGCAGCCTCAAATAAGCTTGCTTATCTATACGTCTTCTGTTTTATGTGGAAGTCCATTTCCGCCAAGTAGATGAGAAAAATTATTTTTTCCCAAATATTAATGTATTATGTTAAAACCATGACTTACTGACCCAAAATAATAACTGATCATTTTGACATACACGCTTAGAACCATTATATAGAACCATGAACATTCAAAGAACCCTTTCCATTATTAAAGGGTTCTTCACATCATGAAAGAGTTCTTCAGATGGATGAAGAATGTTCTGTAGATGGTTCTATATCTGGAAAAGAGTTCTCTATTGTTACAATGTCAGGCTTGCTACAAAAGAAGAACCCTTTGTAGTGCTATATAGAACCCTTTTCAAAAAGGTTTTATATGGAACCATCTATGGCACATCCTCCATCTATCTGAAGAATGCTTTTTGATGCTATACAGAACCATGTACGGCACATTCCCAATCAGTCTGAAGAACAATTACACCATGCAAAGAACCCTTTAAACATGCAAAACGTTCTTTGAGTGTTCAGGGTTCTAGATAGAACCATTTTCTTTACTTAAGGACCCTTGAAGAACCATCATTGTGTATTATATCACAATCTCAAGAACAAAGTCTTTTTTAAGATATTATGTCAAAATATCACAAAAATAAGTCGTTATTTTGAAATACTAAGTCAATATTTCAACAAAATAAATAATTGTTTAAAAATCACTCAAATCAGTCAAGTCAATATTTATAGAAAATGAGTAATTTCAAGATACTAAGTCAATATTTATAGAAAATGCGTCATTATTTCATGATACTAAGTCAATATTTATAGAAAATGAGTCATTATTTCAATATACTAAGTCAATATTTAGAATAAAAATACATAAGTAATTTTTTAAGATACTAAGCAATTTTTTAAGAAAGTAAGTCAACACTGGCATTTTCTTCTTCTCTACCTGGAGGCAATGGTCTTCCATAGTTTTTAACTGTGAAATGTACTTGTGTCATTTTTTTCCAG